TCGAAACTGCAGTCCACTCCAGCCGGGAGGAGAACAACTTTTGAGAAAAAGACTATGCGAAATTCAATTGAAACGTCAGCTCTACTCATATCATTGTGAGTAAGTTCTACTACCAGTCCTTTATCACCTTAGACGAAATAGTGGGAATACATCTCATATTATGGATTAATTAGTTTTTATACTCAGAAGGATTCCTTAACTACTTAGAATGTACTTGGTCATATAACGGAGTGTCAACATCATTTTTCGGAGATAAAGGTCCAGCACACCCAGCCAGGGTCAAAACTTTCACTGAGCGAGAACTCATATACTCTATTGATAATCATTGGCATGTCAAAAGAATTAAACGCTTAGTCATAATGTCATTGATGACTGATTTCTGAGCTCAATTCCATCTCGAGTGAAAATGTTTGGCGAAGAGATTCGAAGGACGATCCCACCAGAAGACGACGGCGGATTACCCATGACCAACTGTCAATTGGTTTTACCCGAAATATTCTTGCTGACGCTGCTTCCGAGGCAATCTCCTTCGATTCCGGTAAAAACGTGCAAAGCTTTTAAAGTATATTTTCTCGGAGACAGCATCAACAGGAATGCTCTAGTAAAGCCAATTGACAGCTGGTCAAGAGGAATCGGCCGTCGTCTTCTGGTGGAATCGACCTTAGAATCTCTTCACCAAACAATTTCACCCGAAATGTAAGTAAGCTCATCAATTATAAACCAAGAGATTCCTCGAAGCCCAACTGTTATTCGCTCTGATTGATGAGCCCAAAGAATTTGCCTCTGCTTTCGGACCACATCGGTCAAGTCAGTCTCTCGTCATCAACGCCATTTCGACGTCAGCCGCAAGAATCCCTCGCAGCACTCTAACGTCGCATGGCTTCTGCATGATACCACTCCTCTTATGGAAGCATTTGTCTCCGAAGGCTTAATCAAAATTTGGCATTTCCTTAAAGAATTGTAAATGTTGACGTCTGTGTCTACCCCATTTTACAGGTGGCTCGAAAACATGGTTGTCGACACTTCACAGGAGGGATATTATCAATGGCTTGGTCTCATCACAATCACCGTCATATTCAACGCAATCGTTCTGCCGATGCGAGCGTCGTTCGAGCAGTTCCACAGACTCAACTATGTGGCCTGGATGAGCATCGACATGTGCATTGATATTATTTACTTGATGGACATATTTGTGGGTATACGGACAGGTGAGCAAAGAGGTGTTATCGGGCCGTTGGTAATTGCATGAAAGTGCTTCTGTATGCGCGCTTGCATAAACGTTGGAGTGTGATTTTGGAAATTTTCTCATCTTTTCGAGCTCTATTATATTATACAATTAAGTGAACAGGTACCACAGGATTCCCCCAATACTTGCCGTGCAACCGGTTCCTTTTGATGCTGTCCATCTTTCGTGGTAGCGATGACTTGGTTTGTTAAATTCAGAGTGTTGAGCTAACCAAGTCGGAATACCATTTCATCGGCTATGCTCATTTGGCGTCCATTCGCACCGAGTATCGTCACAAGTATTATCATTAGCCTCTCGATTATTCACATTTACTTCCTACCTCTATTACAGGGTGTCACAAGTTGGAGCCTCAACTTTAGATCTACACAATATAATTGCCATGAGTCCAACTAGACTCAAATGACCATTAGAGAAACTTCATAGAATGTGCCATTACAGTCTCCGATGGAGTCTGACTTTCCATGTAGGATTTAATAGTATTAATCATGCGAACAACTATCTCAGATTTTTGCGACAAATGAACAAGGAATAGAGGCTTGTTAAAAAGTGGAATTTAACAAAAAGTGATTAGGGCTTTGCACGCAAAGTACCCACTGTATACCCGCTAAACTTCTGTTTTTGCCCTGTTAAAAAACTAGGGTATTTGGACCAAGGGCTACTTGTACGAGACACAGCGCTGCTGCGGCGTATGTATCTTCATCGCAGGGACTTTTTCATGGACCTGGTGAGCATTCTGCCCACAGACGTCGCCTACATGCTGCCCGGATTGTCCATACAATCGGCCTGGGTCCGGATGAATCGGCTGATTAAGATCTACCGACTTTTCGAGTTCGTCGACCGCACGGAAACACGCACCAGCTTTCCCAACCTATTCAGAATCTCCACCCTCACCATCTATATACTTGTCTTAATCCACTTAAATGCCTGCATCTACTTCGCTTTCAGCACCTCGACAGGTAAGAAACCCGAGTGGTTGCATTCACTGACTTGATCGTTTATGCTTAGCTATTACGTCGACATTGTTCCAAAGTTGGCATTCTTTCTGCGGAACCTTCTCTCCGACAGATATTTTATGAAAAATGTGGCGATCACACTGGACTGATAGAATCAAGAGTGGGTCTAGCCAACAAGGTGCATGTAGTAGGCCAGTCCTTGTGTTTCATGGGCTAAATGTTTGGTTGATAGGGCAGAATTCTTGCATGGCTTGGATTTTATTGATGGACTTCACTTCATTCCGCAAATGGAAATGCTTTCTCCATTAGGTAGTGGGTTTTGTGATCGTCATTGTCCCGTCGAAGGTATGAAGACCAAGATGGTGTGGCCTTTTGTGTGGTCGCAGTCTACTTTCGCTGAATAGAAGTTATTTGACCTTGTTTTCACAACTTGGTCATATTGGCAGGAAGAATTAGAAGAACACACCTAGTCCGGAGTCCATCGTGTGCATGATCATTTCCTATCTCGGACCGTGGATATAGTACATTCCCAAACGTTTGTGTGGGTTTGTGTACCAAGACAGATAGTCACGCTGGAAGTCTACCCCGGATGAGAATAGCTTTTGGGAAGCAGGGCTATGTGAAATCCATTGGACTCTACTCATACGATTGTGGGAAGATTCTACTACCAGTCATTCTTCACCTCAAACAATATAGTTGATTTATTAGTATTCTCAAAGCCCTACTTATAAAAGAATCACTTTCTCCACTTTACCAATGAGAGGACCAGATAAAGGCCTCAGACAATAGATAACAAGCTCAAATTAACATTGTAAACTGTGTTAAAGAAGAGTTTTGAGGTTGTTTGACCTTGTTTTCACAACTTGGTTATATTAGTAGGAAGACTTAGAGGAACGCACATGGTCCGGAGTCCATTGTGTGCATAATCATATCCAATCTCAGACCGTGGACGTGGTACATTCCCAAACGTTTTGCCGGTATCGTAGTCGGCATCGTCAATGAGTCTCGCAATTCTCACTGACGATGCCGACTAAGATGCCGGCGAAACGTCTGGGAATGTACCACGTCCATGGTCCGAGATTGGATAGGATCATGCACACAATGGACTCCGGACTAGGTGCGTTCCTCTAAGTCTTCCTACTAATATAACCAAGTTGTGAAAACAAGGTCAAACAACCTCAATACTCTTCTTTAACACAGTTTACAAAAATAATTTGAGCTTTTTATCTATTGTCTGAGGCCTTTATCTGGTCCTCTCATTGGTAAAGTGGAGAAAGTGATTCTTTTATAAGTAGGGCTTTGAGAATACTAATAAATCAACTATATTGTTTGAGGTGATGAATGACTGGTAGTAGAATTTTCCCACAATCGTATGAGTAGAGTCCAATGGATTTCACATAGCCCTGCTTCCCAAAAGCTATTCTCATCTGGGATAGAATTCTAGCGTGACTATCTGTCTTGGTACACAAACCCACCGTTCACAAACTTATACAAATTCTGATTTGTTTATACTGAACTTCTCCCTACCTGGTTAGGTGAGACGTTACCGCCTTTGGCTGGTTTTCTCCCTCTTCTGGTTTCCCCGAAAGTGCTGATTCGCTTTGATTCTTATTGTTTGCATACTGCCTCATTCAATGCCTATCCCAATCTCCCTCGATGGACCGTTTCTTATCTGACAGGTTGATTCATTTAATTCCACAGCAGTCGCTGTGTCTGTTCTATTCGAGACGTTATTTCCCATGATCCGACACAAGCGTCTCATACCAGGTATATCGTGCTTCACCGAGCAGGCCTCATGAGCCCTGGTTCCCAAGCTTGCTGATATCGCTCTAATCAAAACGATAATCATGACATTGTGCCTATAACTAGCTCAATTTATCATTTGTACTCGGCTTGTGTATGTTATGATCAAACCGATTCTTTGAGAACTCCCTCGCTGATTCATCCCATTCTCCGGTACACCTCTCGACAGGCCTATTAATCAAGCTCTTATATTCATAATGTCAAATTACTATGACGCTTTTGGCTGTTCCCATCCTTATTTATTGTGCGTTAAGCCCCGTAATGATAGTGATGTTGACGTGAGATTAGAGGGGCTGAGATATCATGACTGAACTTAATCTAATGTACATGAAACCGGAAGCAAGCAACACTAACTAAAACGTTGATTATTACTTGAGTCGACTGAGAAATAATCAGGAAACAGCAAGATCGGCAGAAAAGGAGACGACTGGAATTTTAATAAGGAATAGGAGCAAGACAATTTGAAGACGACTACATGAGAACAACTTTTGGGAAAGCAAGGCTATGTGAAATTCAATGGGAAAATTCTACTAACAGTCCTTCATCACCTTAGGTGAAATAGGGTGAATACATCTCGTTAAACTGGTAGTCTCAAAACCCTACTTAGTTACGTACATTGAGCCTAGTCAATCCAAATAAGCAGCTGCAGCATTTTATGGGCTGACACACAATGACTAGGGGAATATGCAAATCATAAAAGTGGCTATTTCTATTAGAACTCTATTTAAAAGATGCGGTGGAGATCAGAAACAGTTTTCTTAGATTTAAGTGGAGTTTCGAGACTACCAATAAATCAGTAGTATGAGATGTATTCACCCTATTTCGTTTAAGGTGATGATGGACTGGTAGTAGAATTTCTCCACAATGATATGAGTAGAGCTGACTTTTCCATTCAATTTCACATAACCTTGCTTTTGCAAAAGTTGAGTCGCATTAAATAGCGACTTTTAGAGTATTCGTAAAGTTTACGGGCTATCTTGACAAAAGAATCATGTTCATAAGGAAGTGAGGCTAACCCGTCTCGGTATAGAAAGTCATTCGCGTAAACGAGGCACTCAGGAGAGGATTATCCCGACAGGAGTAGGATGCAGGGATAATCTTCCATTTCTGGTCCCAGTATAATTACATAATGAGGAGTATGCTTATTTGCTGCCTGAATCTGAGGGGAATAACACTCTGGAAGAAAGAATTGAAAAAAATTAGTAGAGACAATGAAAGATATAGCCTGTAAAAGCAGGTAGCAAGATAGGAATTATGGAGAAAAGAATAGAAAGAGACAAGCAAAAGTGGATAAGCCTACCATCCTACGAACTAACTCGAAAATTACAGTTGATACAAAGTAAACGGAATATTGAAATGTGAGCGGAGGAAGATGAAGCACATTTCACATGCTTAACTACGCAGTATAAAAGTGAAAAAAACTGGATTACCCGGCAGTTTATCACATAAAATGAGGATACTGTGAGCAAAAGTATATTGGCAAACAGGGAGAAAAATCAAAATTAAGATTAAATACGACCAAAGTAAGTATATGGAGAGATCAAAAGTAGCTGGACATATTGCAGAGACGGTGAAAAGGATCAACTGAAAAGCAACAGATAGACGGACCACATAAATGGAAGTAATTAAAAAGACAGAAAACCAGAGAGGACGCCATTATATCTGCCAAAATGAAAATAAGATTTAAAGATGGTAGAATTTCGAAAAATCTTTTCTTTTTAAAGTTGGAGAAAATTAACTGAGTATAAATGCCGAATTAAGGCATTAAGAAAAACTATGCAAGGCATGGCTTTTTGGCCAGAGCGATACCAACAAGCTTAGGAATCAGGGTTCAGAAGACCTGCTTGGTGAGGCACGGTATACCCCCTATGAGACACCTGAGTCATATCATGCGGAATGATGACTCGAATAAAACGGAAACAGTGACTGGAACGAAATGAAATGAATCCAATTGGAAGATAAGAAACGGTCCTTTAAAGGAGATTTGGATATGAATTGAATTAAGGAATCATTCAAACAACACGGATCAAAGCAAATCAACATTTCGGCACAAAAGGAAAATCAGTGAGATGCGGAGACATCTCACATAACAAACTCCAAATGGTACATCTATGGAGAAGTTAAATATAAGCAAATCAGAATTTTTTATTGAAATGAGTATGATAGGTGGATGTACCCGGCCAGATAATAAAAAGATACCACAATCACTCAGCGGAAATTCGGTTAAAGAATCGACTTTATTTGTTTTTTTGACGCGTCATAGCCTGTTGCTAAGATTGTCAAGGCTCACAGGCGATCCTGACTACAACGTCTGCGAAATTTTTGAAAATGTACCAAGTCCAAAGTTGGACGACACTCGTTTAGATTCAACTCAAAGCCTTCACTTTTCTTTGAGCAATTAGGTCTGGGCTCAAACTCGTTTGTTTACCCACCACATCCGTCTGATGAGGTCTCCGAGAGCCAATTCAACCTAACTGAGCGATGGAACACGCTCTATTCCAAGTATGTGTATAGTTTCTACTGGTCAACCCTAATTCTTACTACGATTGGTGAGACGCCCAGGCCAGTCCAGGACAGTGAGTACATCTTCATAACGATTGACTTTCTCGTTGGGGTGCTGATATTCGCTACAGTCGTGGGTAATGTCGGTTCCATGATCACTAACATGAACGCTACCAAGACAGAGTTTCAAAACAAGATGGATGACGTCAAAAGGTATGTACAAAAATTGGACCCTGTTATTCTTATATCCAAGGCCATTAACCGGATTTGCGTTTAGCTTCTCGTGCTCATACACGATTATTACTTCTATAGAAACAGGCTTAGAAAGGACAATAGCTCAGTTATGAGCATCACAACTATAAAAGGGCACTATTTAGGTGTTTCAATCACCTCATATTTGTTCAGATACTCAATATATTATATAGAATATTAGTTGTAATGCATGTTTTAATTACTCTACGATATAAGTAACTTGAAAGCAAGTTAAACTACGATTCTTTTCAGTATAGTTCATATAGCTAAAGTCTGGACGTGTCTTAGGAAATTTTTCGCAAACAATGCCTTATAATCTAAGTTTCATTTTGTGTCAGAGTAACGCTTCTTTACGAATATTTGCCGAATGAGAGATTGACACAAATCTAACTTGCAAATAAAGAGGTGTTGGTTAGCTTGGTTTCAATTTCAATTTAAGCCAGTGGCTCTTATTAGTTTATTGTTTGATTTTAAGTTCTATTTAGAAATAATATTTTTTATAAAATAGGTAGAATGCAATAGCATATTCCCTGATAGACTTGTATCTCACTTTTTCTTAACAGAAGTTAGTCGGTTCTAATGTAAACTAAATATTTATCTAATCTGCACTCCAGCTGTAAATCTGCTATGAGAGGTCTCTGGCTTTTCTTGAAAATCCCGTTTGCTCTGAAATCCACTGTGGCTGTATAAAGTGGTGCTAATATGTAGCCAGTTTTTTGCATTGCCCAGGTTACTTTACAGTTTAGGATGTTGATGAGACCCGGGCGACGCCATAACTGCAGTTCACTTTGAATGATATTACCTTAAGGAAGTTAAGGCTAAGTAAAGTTAAAGGTACAGTGAGGCCCACGCATATCAATGCGGTAAGATTCACTGATCAGTCTTTGATTAGCTTATGCGATATTGGGTGACAATAGCTCCCATTGGGGATCTACTGATAATATCTAAACCTATTTATTATGATCTCAGGCTAAAATTAGGTTTTTTGATAATGTTTATTAAAATGGAAGTCTAAATGAAGCTTATCTGTACAAAATACTCATTCCGGATGTTTCTTAGTTTGCTTTAAACGGCAAATTAACAAGGATATCTGCGTAAAAATTCGACTTGAATCAAACTAGTCAATGCCCCATGTCTAAACAGGATGAATGACATCGTTTCCTTTGAGAATATTCGTGGAATGGCTCCTGCGAACCTCAGTTTATTAGGTCACTCTGGCTAGTAGGAAATGCAATCTTTATTTCTGGGAAATAGTGTTTGAAAAGTGCTAAAAATAAGATTTTGTCAAGTACGATGTCCCCCCTTGTAGAAGAAAGAAAAGGTATATATGCTTAAAGTTTTGATCTCACTTGGCTTGAGGGGACTATGATAAAGTGAGAATTTAAAAAATGCTCGAATCACCATTTTCTACATTATTTTCGACGAAAGTATGAATCTCGAATTAGGAGGTTTATTCGCTTATGCATATTTCATTATAAGGAATATGTTTTGTACTTTAATTGCCCTCTCAGTAGGAAAGCTTGCTTGATTATTAAGGCAGCAAATTGGAATTTTTTTATTTTTAAAGCCTTTCCTGAACATCAAACTTAGATTTTTTAATGCAAC